GTCTATTATGGGTTACAAAAAACCAAAAAATTCGATCATGGATTACAAAAAAACAAAAACAATTCGATCATGGATTACAAAAAAAAAAAAAAAAAAAAATCCGTACGGAATCGCCGATTCAATGTTCGGACTCGCCGATTCCGTACAGTAAATCGGCGATTCACTGTACAGAATCGTCCAGTTCTCTCTAGAACTGGACGATTTCCGACTTTTTGGGCGATCCGGTCCCTTTTCACCATTTCCGAGTCGAACCGGGCGAGTCCGGTTCGACTCGGCGTTTTTTAAAACGCTGATTTGGACCATTAGCTTCTATTGTTTTGAGATGGCACACCTACTTGCATCTATTTTTGAAATTGATACTTTATACTTTCTAGGCCGTATGTATAGAATCTCTCTCTAATTAGTGGGTATGCTTATGTAGAAATGAGACCCAACCTCTTTCTCTTCTCATATTTTTCTATATTTGTTTTTGGCCCGGCCAGGCTTGGCCCTAACAGAGCCATGGGCGGCCCTATGGGAACTAGTACCATGGCAGTCTGATGATGGTTTGGCCCGTTAGCCGCCCTTATATTCAAGACCTTAATTGTAAAAGTAAAGTTGTGGCTTTCTATGCCATTTATTTTAATTGGACGGTATAGATTTAACATGTCTTTTAAGATAGTTTAAAAAAGTGACAGGTCTTTTGATACAATATCAAATCCAAATAAAATAGATGGTACAAATTGATGCAACCTCACTTCTAAAATTTAAATTACATCATTATATGAACTTCTTCCGTATCTAACTTATGACTTATTTTCATTCTTGCCTCTACCCGGACGTGAGCAAGCTCGTGTATGCTACTCTTGTTATGAATAACGGTGGCAACATGTTGGGCTGAGCCTGGGCCAAGCCAGCCTTGACCCGTCCCGGCTGTTGTTCCATAGGGTTAGCCTAGGCCCTGGCCAGGCCAGGTCCAGCGCTAGCCCGATTAAGGTCCGGCAAGGCGAAGAGTAAATGAAAATATTTCCTCAACTCAAGGGAGGACTCTACTGTGGAGTTATACCACGAGGCGTAGTCTCATTGTTAAGAAATGACAAAGGTTTAGACATGGAACATGAAAGGGCAGGGCAGTGGGACACTGAAGAAGGAAATAGGAGGTTTTGGTGGTGATAAAGTCTAAAAACACAGGTGCGTTGTTTGTCCATAAAAGAAACAGTACTCCCAATATTTGGTGTTTAAAGTGTCTGATGGTACAGGGGTCACATGCAAGTTTTTGGTGAATAGTGTGGACCGTGTCAAATCCCACGGTTTTGAAGCTGGTATGGTCTGGGTGTGGTCAGTGGACAGTGTCTATACTATTTGAATGCATGAGCAATGGATGTAAATGGTTGATGTCTATTATACACGGTTCTAATATTCCATCCAATAGAAATAGTTTTTGGATTGAGCTTTCTTATGTTTTTATTGAGTTTCAATTGCCAGGGGGTACAACAGGGGCCCTCAATATGATAAGGTGGTCTGAGGAGTCAAAATTGTCTGAATTTATTTTAACTAACGAATATATTGATATTGTATCTGCAAAGGCTCAGTTTACTTGGGCTAGCACTTGTCCTAAAATAAGAAAATATATAAAAAAAAGGGTTAATATCCCTTACAATATCATTAGGGGGTTAAAAGATTACAACTTACTTAAATTTCCATATTAATCAGGATGTCCACACAAAAATATTAAGAATTTCCTAAATTAACCCTATTTGGTCTTGGGATGCTAGAATAATTAGGGGCATTTTAGTAGTTTTACCCCAAAAAGACCTAATCAAACAATAATTAGAGGTAAAATTATCAAAGTACCTCCAATTGTTTTCATATCCCAACACCGAAGAAAAGCAATTTGGGAGTTTTTAACATATTTTTAGGATGTATGTGACTTGTATTAAAATTAAAAAATAATATACCTTTAAGTGTAATTTGTAATCATTTGACCCCACCTCCAATGACATTGTAAAGGATTTCAACCCCATTTATGATATTTACCCCTTAGTTAAAACATTGTTTTGTCTAGAATGGATGGATTTTTAATTAAGGGAAAGGGTTTGCATGAGCCAATGGACGCAAGAGCCCGATGACTCACAAACATATATCATAAAAGATGAATGTTATACATAGTGTACCCCGTATAAATGCTACATGGACGATGCACCAAAAACACCAAAAAATTATATTTTTAATTTAAAAATTTTCATTTTTTTTTCATATTCATAATTACTTTGTGTAGATGATGAATATACAAAAAAAAAAAAAATACACTAGATAAAAAATCCATCTTTAAAATGGATTTTAGATGGGGGCCACATACATACAAATAAGTCAGCCGCTCATAGAAACCCCATCCTTTAATTAATGCAGCAGGAAATGGATTGTTTCCCATGGCTTAAGGCTTGACCAAAGTTGTCCTCTAATCATATGCTTTTGTTATTGGTAAGTGGTATAAATGAGCTGGGAAGTCTTATTTTAAGTTCGAAATGAGTTGGATCTATACAAACTTTGTAAGTGAAATGGT